AGATATATATATATGCTACTCCTAACTGACACCTAGGGCGAAAATGCCTTTGTCTATATTTCGCCTTAACGTCGTTAAAATTTCCCCCTTAAGCGGCAGTATTTTCGCCTTAAGGTATTGTTTCTAACCCTCTCCATTGTTAAGGTTTCCCCCTATGGTAGTATATAGTCATATACAGTATATAAATATATTCTAATGTTTTAAATATGTTATTTTACTGGGTAATTCCGTGTCAAATCAACCAGAGGTCCCAGGTCTACTGTCTTGGATTATTTTGATGAAACTCCATAAAAATGATCTGCTTTGTGAAAAATCAACATACACAAAAGATTAGCCCTACTGGATATGTAGTTTCCGAGATATTGACGCCCAAAAAAAGGCACGTGGCTCTTCAAGATGCGCAAACAAAATTTCCTCCAACTTTGGAAGCTTATAGCTCGGGATTGGTAATAGTTATCAAGCTCAAACTTAGTAATCTAACTTACTTTCCACCATATTACACAAATATGGCATCAGCCTAACTGTTTTCTCTTCTCTTTTGAAGTTATCTGCACTCAAAATAGCCACTTTGTTTAACGACACAATTTTTTTGTGATTTTTTAGGTCACCCTGTGTCCATAAGGTTACAGGCGCTGTACTTCCGAAGATATTAGCATACGAAAATCAAAGTTAATTTCACAGTGAACTAATTTGTGCCAGGCCCCCTTTTACATTAAACTGCTGCTATGGGAAAACAAATAGGAATTGGGAGTCTAAAAATTTCAGGTTTTTTAATTCACAATGAATAACTGTCAGTATAAAAAATTTTAAAAATCTATGATCCCATGGCATGGAATGACTCAACTCTTTTGACTCACATTTTGCATGTGCTTTCAAAATATGTAATAAAAATTGGGGGTGACCTTTCATCCCAAGGAGCTATAATTGATTAAATATATTCATAATTTTAAGCATATAACATTTTGATGCACACGTACGCGCACGTTATGATGCACGTACAAAACTTAAGGTACATGACATTTTTACCCTGAAGTTAATGCCCATTAAATATGATTCAGAAATGACAGCTGATTAGGATGATATGGGGTCATCAAAGTTTTGATGAAAGAAAGATTAGGAGGGGTAAAAAAAACAACACTTATTTTGACCATGATGACGTCATCAAAATGTAAAAGGAAGTCACATATATGAAAGAGAATTGTCTAAGCTAAAACATACTCAAAGTTGGGAGACGATCGATCAAGGATAAGCGAGATACGCTCAAATGCGTATTTTCAAAAATGACGTCACAGATAAAAATCAGTTTCTTCGAATTCAGATGGCAATATGATGACTTCACAATGTCCGATCGGCCATTATGATCTAAAAAATCATATCTACAACTCATGTGCTTTCAGAATATGTAATAAAAATTGGGGGTCACCCATCATCCTAGGGAACTATAATTGATTAAAAATAGGCATACTTTTGGCTTATTTTCGCTTTATGCCGACGAAAACACGCACAAGGATTTGTATGTTAAATGCGCACGCAGAACATTGCCATTGGCCCTAAGATTACCAAAAATAGAATGGAAATATGTGAATACAGCGTCAGGAACCCAAAACATGTAAAAAAAAACGAAATATCCAGCTTCCATACGAACCATGTGCGTAAGAATTTGAAAAATGTTGAAATAATCAGAATGGCCTGAAACGTGCTCTCCTTTAGTCAAAAGGTGATTTCGAGCATTTTAAAATTTTGTCGCACACGTACGCACGTGTTATGAAGCACACACGTAAAATTAGGGTACATTACATTTAACATTAACCTGAAGTTAATGCTCACTAAATACGATTTCGAAATGGTAATTGGTTAGTCTGATATGATCGATAATGTAAAAACGCAAAATTGCTCGTAGATGACGTCACGTGTGACTGAGCACATTGAAAACCTTATTGTGACTATTCCAGGCCAAGCCTGAAGCGCGCATTTGCCTTGCTCGCGGCAAATTTGAGATAATAAAAATAGAAGGAAAGGTAGAATAAAAAAAAAAAAAGATGATGAAGTAAGGAGATCTGTGACAATAACAAGAGGTGATCCGCACTAGTTGCGGATCACCAATAAATAAAGAAGAAAAATCCGAACGAAAACAAAGGTGATACGCTCGGAAGCGTATTATTATTACCAATTTTAACTCCAGCAAAAAACATTAAAATAGCAATATCTCCGCTAATATTGGCCCGATTTACATAATTTTTGTTTTAAAATGCTTCATTCAGTTATGTCTTTCTATTAAAAATAAATAAAAAAATATTTGGGACATTTCAATTTTTTTTTTGGCCTAGCCAAGCCTAGGCCTAGCCAACGCTGGGCTAGGCCTAGACTGCCTAGGCCTAGTCTAGGCCTACCCTAGCCTACGTTACGTATAGGACCCATTTTGAAAATACTTAGACTGCTAAATTAATTTTGTCTGTTCAATATACAAATACAAGTGCATTGGGCCTACCCCAAGTCGTCAAGACTGTCTAGGATACCGTTTTGTACAAAAGCCATGGGTCCACCTTCTTATTCTTTTCACGAATCTGATATGTGCCTTCTTGCGCACAGTTTTGAGTCATTTGCACAATTACAAACTGTGCGATAGAAATCCTGCTGCTGCAGTGCTGCAGACCAGCAGCGAGACCAAAGATACTAGAAATATAAGATAGAGTTCTCCACACAAAAAAAGTGTTCCACCGTGTTCCACCGAAATGCATGGTGGGAATACGAAAAACGGGACGCCCCCTACAGCTGGATCTAAACAAACTTGTGCCAAACTTTCGTTACCAAGTCGTCGCCTATTTTATTATCAATTCTCAACAAAGATGTCCTAGACATAAAAACAAACTGGAATAGACACCCAGACAGTGACATCGGTGAATACATAACCTCCTTGGTGGCGGTAGAAATCGTTGCTATTATCCAAATAATACACAAAACAATTAAAGCATAATCATGAATCAGTAAAGAATAAAACAAGAATACAGCGCAGAATCGCATGGCCGGACGCACTCTTAGTGAAAAAGTTTTCCTCAATTAGTGGAAAAGGAAGGGCTCCTTTTGCGTCTGGATATACTTAGCAACAGAAGGGCGCCCTGTACGTTGGGCACGAAGTATAGGAAACTTGCATGGTTAAAAAGAAGGGCGCCGCCTACGTTGGGCACGACTTCCGCCTCATTTTTACACCGCGAGAACTCTATCTTGTATTTCTAGTATATTTGGCGAGACTTAAGTCAGCCACGCTTGCAAAGCAGCCAGGCTTTGCAAAGCGGTGACGTTTCATGGCTCTTCCATTTTTATCATAGGGAAACATTTTTTGACGGTAGTATCGCGTCATTTTACGTCAAACCATAAATATCTGCGTCAATGTAGGTAAATTTGCGTCAGCATGCGTAAATTCCCGTTAACTTAACGTCAACACTAAAAAAAAATCTGACGTACGGACGTACATTAGATTATTTATTTATTTCAACAATATTTTACGAGGGTGGTCCATCCAGCCGGAGCTGATCATTAGGGACCCTCAATACATAACACAAGTAACAAAGGAAATATAAATAGAAGATAAGATAGATAAGTGCAGCGTGACAACTGCTTGGATATTTACCCAAGATCTTGGGTGACTTGGTCTTGGGTTCTTGGGTATTCCGTTCAAATCCTTGGGTATTTTATTTTTACTAAGAAAATTAAATTTTTTTGTCATAGAGGAAGAATTAAGAAGTAACAAAGTATATTTCAGTCCATTCAATATGATTTTTCTAGACCAGTTTTTATGGGATATGCATATGTGATATGCATCACTAAAAGTGATGCATATCACAAGAAAGAAAAACCTAATTCATTATGAATATAACCTTAATGGTGAAACACTTGATGTTGTTAAAAAATATAAGTACTTGGGTTTTACGATAGATGATAAACTCACGTGGAATGACCACGTTGATACTATAGTCAGTAAATGCAATAAGCTATTGGGTCTGATAGTTTTTATTGCTGGATTTGCCTTAAGCCAAACATTACTCTCTCTATATAAGTCTCTGGTATTGCCTCACTTAGACTACGGGCTACCTGCATGGATGCCCCAGACTAAAAAACAGCGACTTCGTTTAGAACGCATCCAAAAATATGCCACACGTAGAATTATGAGAGTTGGTAGAGGTGAAATCCCATATGATACGGTATCAGATTGAAATCCACTAAACTATTATCGCTTGAATGCCGTCGGGAACTGCTTTTAATTTCTTTTGTTTGTAAATGCCTTTTTGGTCATATTAGTCCGGCAGCTTAGCAGATGGATGTGGACGTTCCGGACAAAAGCACCATTTTTTTTACATACTCCTTATGGGCATAACATTTAATTTTTGGTAGGAACCACCTCATCCGAGGTCATTATGGCGGCCATCTTGGATTTCAAAATGGCCGCCTAATAAAACCTATGTTTATCTATATCTCCACTTGTAAACCACTTGGAATTATAATTCTATATTTATCAATATATTGGTTTTTTAAATCATTTTAATGAAAATTAGGCCTATATTTCATGGTCAAGGATTTATAACACTTGTGACATGGTCAAGTGGTCATTAATGTCATAAAAGATCATTTAAGGTCATTCAATATATATATCATACCATTACCATTTTTTACCTGGTCAGATTGCCACAAATAGGTCACTTAATGTCATGCAAGTTCAAATATTGTATGGTATCTTAAAAATTACGTAACTCATGTTTTACATTAGAACATTAGAATCATATCCATACTCTCAGAATTCAAATGTTCTACTATGAAATATATATATATATATTTAATATATATATGCATATATATATATATATATATAGCATGTACAATTATGTATGTACAATTTTCAGTGAGATTAATATGCTTTAAATTAATTTTTATATACTTTTATTTTCATTAAACTCACTGTATACAAAAATTTCTTTATATATATTATTAGATATACAGATAATAAGGTATATCCCTATAGGCCTATACATGTATATATAAACCTATATATAAACAAATAACAATAAGCATTGCTTTTATCATTTACCTATTGACAATGTATATATATATATATACATATACATATATATATATATATTCAGTTGACATTATAATATATATTTTTATGACGGATTAACAATATTTAAATTAATTTTCAATTAGCTGACTATGAGGGCTGAACGTCTACATGACATTATATTTAGGCGGATATATAATATAAAAACAAATAATAGAAAATAATTTTAATTTATATACTTATTTAATTTAATAGACCAATGGTATAAACTCATTTTGTTAATAATAATGTACAATTTAAATGCAACAGAAGAGGAAAATCTGATCCGAATGAAAAGGAAACCTTGTCTCCACCAGGACTCGAACTCAGCACATTTTTCTTAACGTGCGAATGTCTTACCAACTCAACCACAGTGACCTGTGGTCGAGATACATATTTATATATTACAACATTATTATTATTCTATCTTTTAACTATTGTATTTATATACTACTACACAGCAAAGTATTTTAATTTATATAGCACAGTCTGTATACTTATATACATACTGTATATAAGGTATTTCACTAGTAGAATCTTGTCACTGTTCTGATTATTTAATAAAAATCTGAGAAGATGTATTATTAAGATGTCATACAATATTGATCTTAAATGACCTATTTATGACCATAATTATCTGACCATGTCACCACATTTTTTTTAAACTTTTGTGGGGGTAACCCACAATTTTTTCATCATTTTTAATTTAAATAAACACATACTGTACCAGGGTATACAATAAGAAATCCTGCCAAAAAATATGAGATTTTGAATATTATAAATACAAAATATTATTTAAATTTCATGAAAGTAATGTCATCATATTGTGAGCAAAACATTATTGCATATTCAATTATATATATACATACACATGCATATATACACATACTGTACATACTGTATATATACACATATATACATACATATATATATACACCTACACACCCAACAAACACACAATACATGGCCGATGTAGGGCTAGGCAGCCTGGCAGGTATACGTAGCGCCTCCCTCCCCTTCCTCTAATTGGTAGTCACACTTTGATCTGTCCAGATACTGTCTCTTATACACATCGAATTTTGTGAGCTTATGTATGATTTTGCTGTAAAACACGACCACTTACAAACTATTAAGATTTTCTACGTATTTAACAGAGAAATGAAATTGAATGACTTTAAATGACCATCTGACCATGTCACAATTTTTAGACATAATTCTTATTGGAAGTTGTTTAAAAGCCGATATATTGATAAATATAGGTTTTTCGTGGCAGCCATTTTGAAATTTAAGATATCTGCCAGAATGACCTCGAATGAAATATTGTAGTTCATAGTAAAGAGTTTGAATTTTGAGAGCCTGGGTATGATTCTAATGTAAAATTTGACAATTACGTAATTTTAAAGATACCATACAATATTTGACCTTGAATGACCTTACATGACCCATTTGTGTCAATTTGACCAGGTCAAAAATGATATGATGGTATTCCTCGATCATATAAACATACTCTTAGACATTAGAATTATAATTCGAAGTGGTTTAGAAGCGGAGATATAGATAAACATAGGTTATATTAGGCGTCCATTTTGAAATCCAAGATGGCCACCATAATGATCTCGGATGAGGTGGTTCCTACCAAAAATTGAATGCTGTGACCATAAGGAGCATGTAAAAAAAAATTGGTGCTTTTGTCCGGAACGTCCACATTAAGTCCAAATATGGCCCTAAGCTGCTGTACTATATTGACTGTTCAATAATAAAAGAATATCTATCAGTCAATACTAGACATCTAACTACCCTTACATTTAATCATTTGTATTCTCGTACTGTTGTTAATCATAATTCTGTTATTACAGTACCTTTCCCCCGAATCTGGTCAAAATTGCCTGATAGCCTTAAAGATGTCTTGACCTGCGAGTCACTTAGATCCTTTTTAAATGCGCTTCATACTTTTTTTCACACAATGTAATTATGTTTTCTCAATGTAATTTTAATGTTTAAATTGTCATTTCTCTTGGGTGTTTTATTTTATTTTATTTTTTTTTAAATTTATACATACTTGCTTTTTTTTTTTTTATTCCTTCTTGATGTTTTTTATGTCTTTTTTGATTTAAATTGTTATCTTTATCATGTTGTATATTTTATTAGGGAGGGGGCAGCTGGCTTGAAAAAAAGTTATAGTGATTTGTTTGCTGCCCCCGACCATCTTTTGGTCAAATAAATAAACTGAAACTGAACTGAATGGGGAATCAGAATATGTGAGGTAAAAGGGAACTTTCGCATGAGGGCGCTTTTTTAAAATGGCAGCCAAAATCTAATAAACTACATATATATGGGTAAAATAAGCACAGAAGAGGTAGGTTTGACCAACTTTTGAATATGTAATGATAGGAGTAAAGTATAACTACTAGCTAAAGTTGTTAATGTGAAGATTTCCGGAGGCAATTGAGTGCGCTTTATAAAATGGTCGCCAAAATTAAATAACAACTAACAGCAGCTTCAATACCCTAGAATAATTTGTGTAATTTACAAAACCTGAATGTAATAACTGCTGTTGACTTTTTAAACCCAAAATAACATATTTTAGGGGTGTAAGCTAACT